ACACACACACACACACACACACACACACACATTCATGTTTTATCTTGCCTTATATCATCTGAATATGTATAACTTAGTTTCCCTGTCATTTACATATTAAAGAGTAAATTCTTTCCTCAGCTTTATTTTCCATAGAAAATAACTGTAGTGTCAAACCTGGAAGTAATCTTTGATGCACGTCCCTCTCTCCTGCAAAAAACATAATCCAACAATTCATAGAAAGCTTTCACATCTTCTACTCCATTCTGTTATGGCTAACTCTAGCATCTTGTAGTTTTGGTCTAGGGTTAATCATCATTCTTTTCTTAGTTTCACTCCCATACGAGGATCAGAGAATAACACTGTTCTCCACCTTTGTTAATTTGTAAAAATCCATTATTCCCTTAGTTACATGTTAGCCTCCTCCACTAATTTACAAGCTCCCTGAGAACAGCTCTACACTGAATTTTGTCACTATGCCTTAGCCAGCCATTCAGGCATTCTTCAATCTACAAGGAAAACAAGAAATGAAAAACACTGAAACATACCAAGAGAATACAATCAGAAGTATGACTTTCTGAAAGAGTGATTCCTAAAAGACACAAAAACAATAGCCACTACTCTAGCTTCAAAGAGAATAAAAAAGCAATTACAATATATGAACCTCGAATAGAGATAAGAACTAAAAACAACCAAAACCATGCTTTTACTTTTTTACCCAGCCTATATATGAATAACATTTTTAAAAATTTTCTAAGAGACGCATTACCAAGCACGTAGAGCTCAATATGCCTGCAATTTTCAAATACTTCTTTTCAAATAGGTCAGTCAAAAAGGTTCATTTTTCTGGAGAGAAAAATGATAAACTGAAATATTAAGTGCAATCAAGTCTCCATCCTGTCTTCCACAGGCCACTGTGGCGAAGCTCTGCGGGAGGCACAACCCGGCAGTCAGATGAGATGAATGGCTGAGTGTGCTTGTTTCGTGGACTGGCTCGCGGTCTACCCACGTTTACGGTTGCAGACGAAAACACGCACTCCCTGGACACCTACCAACGCGGCTTTCTCTCTAATTGTAACGTGTCAGAAATGGATACAGGGCGCTCCAAGCCAACGCCGCCGGCAAGCACCCCCGCAGCTTATCCACGCAGGCGCGCGGGTCGCCAGGTCGGGACGCGGGGACGCGGGGACGCAGCCACCGAGACCCGAACTGCCCGACCTTCTTTCCTCCCCGGGAATAAGCCACAGAGCCTATCTCCGGGGCTTCTGAAGAAGCAATCGCCGTGTCTGCAAAAACCCCGAGGAAGCGCGTTTACCAGCAGTCGCGACGTGGCTCCTGACAGCCCGAGCGGCCTCGCAGACCCGGTAGCCCGGGAGGAGGCGCGGGCGGGGCAAGCCAGGTGTCTCCCGAGAGGCTCCTCGGCGTCCCGGGTCAAACGCGTACTTTCACTGCCCCCTTCCAGCGCCGGTCGGCCCCGCACCCAGCCCTGAAGGCGTAGGAAGCCCCAGGGCCACTAAGGTGAAAAGGAACCCAGCTGCCAGGAGTCAGCACCGGAAAAGACGGAAGCGAGCCATGACGTCACTTCCGCCTGCGACTTGCAGCCGGAGGAGACTGACTGCGGGGTTCGGGCATCAGACTCTCTGAACCCCTAATGGCAGAGAAATGGTAGTTCCTCGCGCGAGGGTGCGGCTGAGCCTGAGATCCACTCAGAGCGGGGGCAGGAGGCAGAACCAAGCGCGGAGGTGAGGTGACTACTAGGCCCGGGGGCAGGGTCTTCGGGGGCGGGGCGGGGGCGGGTCTAGGCCTGGATGCTGACTCCGCCCACAGCCACAGAGTCCAGAGTTGATTTCTTCATATTGATGAACCTGACAATGCAAGGTAGTACCAAAACAAACTGTTGTTCTGGTAAAACAGACACGCAGAACAATAAAACAGAATAGAAAGCACAGAAATAAACCCATGTACATACAGTCAAGTGATTTTCAACAAAAGTACCAAGAATACACAACAGGAAAAAGAGTCTCATAAATGATACTATGAAAACTAAACATACACATGCAAGAGAATGCAATTAGACCGTTATCTCACACCATACACGAAAATCCATCCCAAATGGATTAAATAATTAAACCTCAGGCCAGGCAATCAGGAAACTCCTAGAAGTAAACACAAGAAAAACTTCCTGACATTTACCTTGGCAATGATTTTTTGGAGTTCACACCCAAACCACAAGCAACAAAATAAGCAAGTAAGGCTATATCAAACTAAAACAATTTCGAAAAGCACAGTAAACTATCAAACAAATAAAAAAGTAAAGAATGGGAGATATTATTTGTAAACCATAAATCTGATAATGGGTTAATAGCCAAAAATAAATAAATAAGGAACTCATACAACTGAGGAGGGAAAAAAAAAACCCAAATAGCCCAATTTAAAAATAGCTAAAGGAAGTGCTGGGGTGGGGGTGACACCGTGGTAGAATACTTTTCTAGTATGTGCAAGGCCCTGGGATTGATCTTCAGCACTAGAAAAAAAAAAACGGCAAACAGTGCAGAGTATTTGCCTAGCATGCACAAGGCCATGGATTTGATCCCCAGCACCTATAAGTAAGTAAATGAATGGATGAATAAATAATAAATTCAAAGGACCAGACTAGCTATTCTTCCAAAGAATTCATATAAATAGCTAATGGGCATATATGAAATAATGCTGTACATCAGGGATCACCAGGGATATGCAAATGAAAACCATAATGAGATGTAACCCCATGCATGAGAGGATAACTATTATTAAAAAAAATCAACACATGACAAATGTTGGTAAGATGGTAAAGGAAACAGAACCCTGTATGATGCTGGTAGTAATACAAATTAGTAGTCCTATGGGAAAAAAATGTATAAGTTCTTTACAATATTAAAGAGTATATTGCCTCACATGCAAGAAGTCTGGGTTCAATCCCCAGCACCACCAAAAAAAAAATAGTATAACTATAATGTTATCCAGCAAACTCACTTTGGGGTATGCAATCAAGAAAATAAAGTCACTAGGTGAGACATCTCCATGCTTGAGTTCATGACAACAATGCTGTGGGGAGGGGGAGAGAGGGAGTCTCATTGTGTTGTCTAAACTAGCCTCAAGCAATCTTCCTGACTCCTCCTCCTGTGTAACTGGGTCTACAGGAACACAACTGGGAAACAGAAGATATCCCAAAATTTACAGTCCAATGACCTGTACCTTCAGATTCAAGGTGATCTGCTTGATTACACTTCAACACATACTCAATGACAAATGTTTTCCACAGACACCTTAGAAAATGCCTTCTTCTGTTGCCATCAATTTAATTTCTTCATTCAACCAAGAGATCAGGCTGGGTTTGAATGGATGACATTCTGTACACAGAAAAAGATACATTAATGGAAGAGGCTCATGTAAGAGATCTTCCTGTGATTAAAAAAAACTACATTTCTGATCAGGTATGCTGCATAACATATTTCTGTTCCTTTGTAGCTCTAAGAAATGATTCTAGTCTTACTGAGGCCAGGTACTTATAGTTCTCCAGCATCACATCTTTGTATAGGTTTCTCTGAGTTGAATCAATTAAAGACCACCCCTGCTGGGTGAACTCTGTAGCCACATCCTCAAAGGTAACCAATTCTTAGACCATCACACATATGCTAATTGAGCACAGTGATATTTCCACCAATGTTCACTGTTAAGAAGTGACACCAATACCTATAAAGGATTATAAGGTCTTCCATATTCTACCATATTCAGTGGTCGTAGGACATCTCTGAAAACAATTACTCACTGAAGATCTCCTCCATCATAGGGCTTTTTAGCATCTTTAATGGGTAAACTTATCTCTCCATTACTAGACAGGGAGCTCTTTTTGTGCTATTTCTCTATATTACAACACACTCCTGAGCATGTTACAAAGACTTGATAAATAGCAATATATGAATAAATTATTTGAGAAAGGATACTTTCATTTTCTTTACAATCTATCAGAACACCCAGAGAAATAAATATCTAATCAGCACCCTGAAAGTTAAGATTAGTATGATTATTAAAATACTGAAATAATTTTCAGGTAACCCCTCACCAATCTAAGAGGCATGGCTATCTGAGAAATTCAGTGAGGGACTAAGTCTTGGCAAAGTTATTTTTTGCTCTAAGGAGCTCTGAAAACAGGTCTGTCGATAAGGAAATATGCCTCCCTGGTCAATCCAATTGTGCCATTTTATGGAATCCATGGCATCAAGGAAAACAAATGCTTTCCATGGTATTTTGTTTGTTTGTTTGTTTTGGTTCTGGGGATTGAACCCAGGTGCATTAACCACTGAGCCATATCCCTAGACCTTTTTTGAGACACAGTCTGAGTTGCTTATGGCCTTCCTAAATTGCTAAGGCTGGTATTTATCCTCTTGCCTCAGCTTCCAAAGTTACTGGAATTACAGGCATGCACCACCACATCTGGCCCATGTTTTTTACATAATATGGATTCAGGGTTGCATGCTTACATTCCAGATTATGAGAAGATTCCAATGGCTCTCCCATGTTCCTTAGATTATGAAGCATCTTTAGACTAAGTTGTTTCATGTCCTTGAAGTACAGGGGAACATCTAACGCTTTTACACATTGCTTATACTTACAATGTTCGTCATCACTGAGGGTTTAAGTGTATTACTTCCTGCAGGAGTTTCTTCATTCTTTACATCCAGTGGGGATCCTTTTGTGTGTTTTGGTATTTTCAGTAAGATAAAAAAAAGAAACAAATAATGGCTTTCTCACATTCCTTACATCCCATGTGCCTGTGAAGATAGGAGGAACACAAATACTTTTCTACAACTTTACATTCAAAGGGCTTCTGTCTACTGTGAGTTATCACGTGTAAAGTAACACGAGGAGGAAGCAAAGTCCTTCCCATCTTGGTCATAATCAAAGTGTTTCTCTCCTGTTATGACTTAAATGCTCAATAAGACCTGAAGATGTACTGATAGTTTTTCCCATGTCCCTTACACTCATATGGAATCTGTACAATGTGAGTCAGTATATGCGTAGTAAAGGCAATACAGTTAAGTCTTTCCACAATTGTATGTTTATATGGTTTTGTGTGATTTTGCAAGTGCTTCTTAAAACATGACTTTCTAAAGGATTTTGACCATGTGTTGGATTTAAAGGGCTTCTAACCATTGTGGATTTTCATATATTTAGTGGGTTGAGAGAAGAAAGGGAAGGCTTTCCTCTATTCCTAGGGTTTCCGCCCCTAGTATATTTGAGCTTGTTTATTGAGGCCTGAGCTCACAGTGAAGGCCTTCCCACATTTCTTACATTCATGGTTCCTCTTTGATGTGAATTCACATGAGAATGTGAAGCCAGTAGGAACATGTAAATGGTTCCCCACACATGTACATACAAAAGGTTTCTCTCTATTATGAGTCCTCAAATATGAAGTAAGATAGGAAGAAGCAGCAAAGGCCTTCCTGGTGATATCCAAATGTTTCTCATCTGGTCATTAAGGCACAATGCTGTAATAAAGTCATTCACAGATTCTTTCCATTTATAGGGCTCCTATGTAAATCCTTACATGTTTACTTAGTGACAAAAATACTGAAGGCTTTCCCACATTCCTTACATTCTCCTCTGTGTGATTTCATAGCCCTATAACCCAGTAAAACTTGCCAAAGTTCCTGCATTTAGAGGGACTTATTCCTTATATATTCATATGACTGTGAAGGTGGGAGGAATGCATGAGTGTTTCCCAACACACTGGACACTCAAATGGCTTCTCTTCTGTGAGCTCACACACACAAATAGTTAAGTTTTGCTGTGCTTAGCAAAACAAGGAGTTCTGTGAGAAAGTATGAACTCTTTGAACTGTGTCCTTGTTGCTGTCTTAAGAAGATAGGAGAAAAGAATGTTCTGCCAAGTGTAAAATTTATATATGTGTGTGTGTGTGTGTGTTTGCCTGGGATTGATAAAAAATACGGAGCACTGTGACCATAAACAAAGTTCTCCTGAGAATGTTTATCCATGCTTGTAAGGATTAAGCTGACGAAAGGATGTTTTTTCTTTCCCCTTATTTTAATTAACAATGCTGTATAAAAGAAGGAGGGAAAAAAGTAAAGACAGTGCTCGTTTTCTACTGAATGTGTGTGTGTGTGTGTGTGTGTGTGCGCGCATGTGTCTTTCTTAAGTGTCTCTGCTGTACCAGGAATTACAGATTGTCAACGGGTCTGATACTCTTCAGTGTGGGATTGCATATGAATATTAAGATGGACAAAATATTTAAAACATTTTCTAATTCCCCACATTTGCAGGATAGTTTTACAACCTCGGTTTGAACATGCATCATACAGCTTGTGGAATGAGTAAAAGTTTTCCTACAGAACTTCCATCTGAATTCTTTTTCTCTTGTTGAGTTCTCCTGTGGGCTTGAAGGTGTGACTGATTGACAAAGGCTTTCCCACAGACATGGTACTCAAAAGATTTGTCTTGGGTGCACATTTTCTGGTAGGCAACATTTGGAGCCTGACTGAAATCTTTTCCATACTGATTATACTCAGAACTGTTCCCTATCCTTTGAACATTTATTTGTAGTAATAAGTATGAGTGTCATTAAAGACTTTCCAAACTGATTGCCAAGTTCCCAACATGTGACAACTTCCCTGATAATAAAGAGATGAATAACAATTAAAGGATTTTTCAGACTGATGAATAAATTCTACCCATTTCAGGAGAGAAACATGATGGCAATAATGATGATTTTTTCCCATTTTCATAACATACACAAAGTCCTTACCCTTTGAATTTCTTTCAATGTGAACTCATAAGTCATATGAAGAATTCTGTGATATCTGCTGTAATTTTGAAAAGATTCCCATAGCTTTTCATAAAATAGTTTTTAAAACTCAGTGTTCTATGATAAAGATGGCAATGTGACCTGGTAGAAACACTGGTTTGGGGGATCTCTCCAGAAATACTATTCTCTGTTTGAGAAAGATACTCCTCTCAAATTTCTCTCATTGGTGCTGATTTCTATCATGGAATTCCCAGTCTTCTCTAAAGGAGGAAAATAAGAAATATCTGTTGTCAATTTTACCATTTGCAACCCTCTTGTTATTTTTAACTCAAAAAAAAAAGTCCTATTTGTTGCCCCTTTCGTGTTAAGGCACATTTCTCATGGTGAAATTAAACAGAGAAATATGTGAGAATTTATTCATCAAAATGGTAGGTTAAAGAAGTTAAAAGGTATTAATTTTGTTGAGTTATTTATATGTTCTGGAAATTAAATCATGCCAGACAATAAAGGAGCAAAAGATCTAAACAGACATTTTTTTGAAAAAAGAAATATAAATGGACAACAAATATATGAAAAAAATGTTCAACATCCTTAACAGTCAGGGAAATACAAATCAAAACTGTACTGAGATTCCATTTCACTCCAGTTGGAATGGCAATATTCAATAATACAAATAATTTCTAGCAAGAATGTGAAAGGAAAGGTATACTCATGTACAGAAACATCAACAATGAGTAGTTAGATATATCCTGAAACTTCCAGTCCAATGGCCTCACCCTTCAGATGCAAATGCATTTAAAACAGTTCCCTCATTTTTCTTCCAAGCATACTGAATAACTCAAAGTCAAGAAATATTTTCCAAAAACACCTTGGAAAATGTATCCTTCCACTATATTCAGCTCTTCTTCCTTTAATCAAGAGATCAGGCTGGGTTTGATGAGATGACATCCTGTACATGAGGAAAGGTGCATTCATGGAAAAGGCTCATGTAAGAGATGGTGACTCTTTCCATGGCTCAGGAACTTTAGTGATAATGAAAGCAGTTAGTTATAACAAAAGCAGCAGCAGCTCTGGAAAGTCTAAGTAGAGAGAAATGTGTCCACCTGTGATGCAAGAGTATAACTTCATACAAGCATGCATGTTCCCCATACCTGATAATCATTTGGCAGACAGCCATCTTCCTTTCTGCCTCTGCCTTTGCTTTAGGAAAGCAGATTGGATATCTAGGAAGTAAACCTCCTGGAAAAGCAAAAGGCCTGAGAACTCAAAGCTGACCATAATTCTGCAATCATATGCCTGGAAGTCATTCCATCCTAGTTTGAAATTCCCATATAATCCAGCACACTTAGGAAAACCCCAAAACATACACTATGTCATATGATGCCAGACCAGTCTGCCTCACCTAGAGCCAGAAAAAGGCATGGTGAGCTGTGCTTCCATCAGGGAAAGTATAATAGCATTTTACAGGTAAAGAACCATAAGCCCTGAGAGACATGACTTTTTTCACACTATGATAGAACTCATGACTAAAATTATGCAGCATTTAAAGCCCAAATACATATACCAGAGGCTGACTTACCAAACAAACCTGTATGGTCCACTCCAGCATCTCTGAAATGAATAAGCAACATGACTATTCAGGCCATTTAAATCTATCCTGGGCAATGGGACTCTCAAGCAAATTCTCTGAAAAGAGCATCAGCAGAATTTGCCATGTGACACACCCATGGCCTCCATCCTGTAAGATTGATGATGAAATATGCCTGAACACCCCCTTTTGTAATTACAGGGACATGTCAGGGTCGTGGGAATCTAAGTAGATAGTGGCAATTTCAGTTCCTCTGACTATAGGATTATTTGGATTCCTATAGTTATTGATCATTAATCAACAAAATAGTAACAATTTGTAAAAATCATACATTAGCTCTGTGTTGGCAATAAAAGATGAAGCCACTAAAAACAGTATACTGTACAAAATGCATATTAATAACAACAGCTACTATTTAATGAGCATTTCTATGTGTTGAAAGTTAACACTAGAGATAAACACACACACACACACACACACACACACACACACACAATAATCCTAACAAAACTCCACAGCAGATACCGTTATCGTGAATGCTGAAAAAATTAATTAGGCTTGGGAAACAGAAGTGATTGTTCCAATATCATCTGGTTATTATGAAGACTAAAAGACTAAGTTGTGAAAAATAATAATAGCCAGGTGTGGTGGTACAAGCCTGTAATCCCAGTGGCTCAGGAGGCTGAGGCAGGAAGATTGCCAGTTCAAAGCCAGCCTTTGTAACTTACTGAGGCCCTAAGCAACTCAGCAAGACTCTGTCTTTAAATAAAATGCAAAAAATAAAAATAAAAGGGGGCTGGGGGTGTGGGTCAGTGGTTAAGTGTCCCTGAGTTCAATCCTCAGTACTAAAATTAATTAATAATTAAAAATAAAAATAATAGCAGCTAAAAGTTCTCAAGGGATATACAAATAAAAAATTGTAACCAGCTAGGCACACACCTGTAGTTAGCTACTCTGGAGGTTGAGACAGGAGGATCACAAATTTAGGGCTACCCTGGGCAACTTAGCAAGAAAACCTTCTCTCAAAATAAAAAGAACCAGATGTAGCTCAGTGGTAAAGCACTTCCCTAGCATGTGTGAGGTCCTGGGTTCAATAACAACAGTTATTGAATAAAATAGCAAAATAAAATAAAAAATAAGATAAACATTCTGCTAGCCTAAGATTAAAACAGAAGACTCAAACAAGATAAACAATGAGAGACGTTACTACTGGCAAATTGTAGAGATGAAGCAACTAACCATGGAACTTCAAATGACCAAGGAAGTGAGCTCCCATCATGAACTGCATTTTGTCTGCCCCACCAAGCCTTTAATTTGGGCATATGTAATAGCACTCTATCATGAAATGGAAATTGCATAGTCATCACTGAACTCAACTGCTTCTGTGAGTACAAGTATATTGTATGAGCAGTTGGTAAAGACTTGGCCAACACATTCCATTTTCCCTACTTTTCTCCATCAATTGATGCCTGTGGCTTCCTGGGGTATTCCTGATGCCCAGAGGACCAACACAAAGCCAAATTCCCAGATGGGTCTGCACTAAAGCACTATTGAACAATGACCCTATACTAATGGCAAATCTTCCCAGCAGCAGGGAACCAAGCAGTATATTTGTCCTCTGATACTGGCATTGAGATGGCCAGAAGCACACATACATATTGATTCATGAATACCTGCTGTGTTAGGTAGGGTTCTCTAGAGAAACAACTGATTTTTTTTTTGTATGATGAAACTGATAAGGGAATTGGCTCACCAAAGAGGTTGAAAAAAATTCTACAATGACCATCTGCATGTTGCAAAGCCAAAAAAGACCACAGTGAAGACAGTCCAGATGCCAGAGTACTCAGAGCCTAGAAGACAGATGGTACAGCCTCCAGTCCAAGTCAAAAGGCCCGAGAGCCACTGATGGCAAAAGTGGAAGCAATTGGAATCTAAGTTCAAGGGCAACAGCAGGAGAAAATGCACTCTGCTCAGAGAGGAAGAACTGGAGAAAAGGGGTGAGGGTGAGAGGGAGAGGGAACGAGAGAGGTAGGGGCGGAGAGAGGTGGGGGGAGACTATGTCTTCTCTTCTTCCAATTTTGAGTTCATCAGGACTCCCAGTCTATGGATGATGCCTGCCCAAACTGAGAATAGGTCTTCCTCACTCACTTCACTGATTGACAGGCCAGTTTTCTCAAAAACATTGGCAATGAAACAAACCCAGCAGTGGGCTAGGAGTGTAGATTAGTGGTAGCGCACTTGTCTAGCATATACAAGGCCCTGGGTACCATCTCCAGTACCTCAAAACAGGAAGGAAGGAAGGCATTTTTAAAAGAAACATCCAGAAGTGTGCTTTACCAGTTCTTTAAGCACCCTTCAATCCAGTAGTGCTGATTCCCAAAATGAACCATCGCTGTTGCCAAAGTTGTTACCAGATGGCTTAAAATTTTGTTAGGAACAAGACTGATGACAAGTAAGGTAAGGAAAAGGAATAGGTATAGATATATAGCTCTATTAAAGGACAGGCTGTATACGCACTTGTGTCCCATGTAAATAGCCACCAAAAGAAATAATTAGATGGGCTGATGTAGTGTGTCAGTTACCTTATCTAGCCACCCCAGAGCTTGCTCCATGGACCCAGGAATAACTATAAGGTCAGCATGAAGGATATTTGTGGCTCAACAATATAGATTTCAATTTACCAACACTGGCACAGTTGACACTACTGCTCTGTGCCTAATCAGCCAAAAGTAGAAACCATCAACTTTCCAAATGTCAGCAATCCCTTACTTGACTAGGGAGCCACCTGGTGGCAGGCTTATTACATCAGCCTGCTCGCATGATGAAAGTGAATAGGTAAAATTCTTCATCTCTGGAATACACTCAAGTTCACGAGATGGATTTGCTTTTCTCCTAGATATGCTTCTGTGGGCATCAACATGTGTACTCACCTACTGACTTCCCTAAGAGAATTACCACTTCCAACCCCAGCAACACAGAACACCGTCAGTTTGGAGAGCTTAGTTCCTAATAAGGAACACTTCCTCTAGTGGACACAATTATAGTCTCATACATTGGATAATAAGATAACCCCCTAGCCATTCTGGGTTTCAAATACCAGTAAACCAAGAGGCAAGGAAAGGTGGAGGTGGGGGAGGGATGCTTATGGACTGACAGATACAATTACCAAAGGAAAATGGAGATACTGCTATATAATCTCAGTAAGGAATCTCCTTGTATACTCATAATGCACAAAAAGGTCAACAAGTTACAACTGAGAACAGGCAGGCATATAGAAGGTGTAGATCCTTCGAATATGAAGATTTGGA